ACTGAAGTCACCAGAAAAATCTGAGTATGGATTGAGTACTAGAAAACATTAAGGAATTACTGTTAATGTTCATGAATGTGATACTGGCTTGTCACGATTTTTCTAAAAAGCCTTTGTTGCTTAAACAATCTTACTGGAGTATTTGAGTAAAATAACATGATGTCTGAGATTTGTTTGAAAATGTCCCCTGCCAAAAAAGGTAAATAAAAACTAAAACAAAATGTGAATATAGATGAAATAAGATTGGGAAAATGGTATTCATGGCTGGAGCTGGACAAGTGTGACGTGGGAGTTGGTTCATATCAGCTCTGGAGAGCTAGCTGTCACTGGCTTTGAGAACAGGTTGTTAAAGCTATTGGTACTTAAAACTGTCCATGATAGGGATACCTGTGCCACAGAAAGCAACAAATACTACCAATAAAAGCTTTTCTAACAGCGTACCATTGAAGTTGGGCAGTAGATATTCTGCCTTATTATACCTTGATGCTTACTTTTGTGACATTTGAAAACTTCAATAATAGCTTTTTTGTTACATCTATTTTTTCCAGGCTTCTAAGAACTGAAATTTGATTCCATCCTTATTTTCAAGTAATTTCACAGCATACTTCCAGTAAGGCCGCAGAGAAATGAAACCGCCTCCATGTCTCCAGGGCACAACGCACATATCTTCACTCTTATCTTGCCTTTCACCCAGGCTTTCCCCACCCTGGGCTAAGTTTATCACCTCACTTCCTTCTCATCTATTTTGGCCCAAATATATTACACCTGTGCCTGGAAGACCTCCATGCTTGTTCTGTATAGATGTCATTTCTCTGCTATCTGAATTTTTAATTAAGATCACCTGTGGTTTTCTAATGGAAGGGGTCACTGAATTCATGCTGTATGCTAAACATCATACTAGGCTCCTTTCACATGCATTATCTCGTTTCATCTCAAAACATTAAGTGAGATAAACTAAACAACTCAGGGAGCCCAACACCAAAGAATTGCGTGGTAGCCTGCTGAGTGAAATGTCAATGAAGCGACCAAGTGCTCTGTGTCATCCAAATATTTTGCTGTATGTCCTCATTTCCTTTTTTCTTAACTTTTTTACAACATCTACCAGTGCATTTCACCACAGTGGCAAGTAACATTTAGAAACACATTAAACATGGCTACCCTTCACGCCCAACTATTACACTCTCCCCTTCTGTAAGTTAAGACTCCATTTCTCTTTGGAAGGACCTGTACTTTGAGGTGTGTTTTTGTGTTTATATATAGCGGAAGACCATGTCTTTGAGGCCGTGCTCTCTTCCCTGGGGAATGCCTCTCTGTAAAGTCACTTTTGCAATGGTGGCTGGGCATGGAGAGCCCATATCTGCTTCAGTCCTATGACAGTTATTGCTTTACTACATCCCACCTGGGCCCTTGTACACACATGCACAAGCCCTTGGGAACTATACTATAATGTTTAAGCAACCTTCACACATCTGTAGGAATTAAGAAATGAAAAAGAAATGAATGCCAAGAAACCTTGGACATTATTTGTGTTCTGGGTGAGGGTTCTGGGTCCTAGCATGTGCCTTTCATTTCTTCCAAAGCTCTCAGTCTGCAAAAGGCAAGCAAGAGAGGAGTGTAAATAAATGGCACCAGCACCGGTACAAGAATAGTCAGCTACTAGGTGACTTTCCAGTGACATGGAAACCATACAGACAAACAAAAGCGGGCTGGGGATTTAGCTCAGCGGCGCAGCGCCTGCCTGGCAAGCACAAGATCGTGGGTTTGATTCCTGGTACCGGAAGAAACACAAAAACCAAAAACAAAAAAACAGATGAACAAAAGAAAGGAGGCAACAAGAACGCCTACAAATATGACATCAATTAGGAAATGCAGGGAACGCATGTGCCTATGTAGAGCAAGGATCGGCAGACCACAACCTAAAGTGTCACCCTCTATGTTTATGAGGTGACATAACAGGAGGTTTGTTTTCATGTTTCTCTGTGCATCCCAGATTTCTACAGTGAACACTTATAGCTTTTATATTAGGGGAAAAAAATACAAAGAAAAGCAGAGAAGAAAGCACATGATTTGGCAGCTTTTATTAGAGATAATTAGATGCCAATTCTGATGCCACTTCAGGGTGGACAGGAACAGCCCAACAAAGGCAGATAAAGATCATTTCTGATCACCCAAAGACGATAAAGGAGGAGACTCAAGTATGTGTGTGTTGCTTCAAAAGGCAAGAGCAAGATGTTAGAAGATAAAAGGAGTTGTGTTTGGGGGGTAAACCAAAGGAGAGAGAAAAGTCAGGGTGCTTTAGGTGTGAATTTCAGAAGTTTCTACATCTGTGCTTTGAAAACACACTGAGAATGTGACTCGCCTTCCAGCCGCAGGGTACACCAGGAGACAGTTCCAGCCTGTGTCTGAGTGACCAAGCTTATCACATCTGGGAAGACCGGCAACCAGTAGCATACAGTAGCTCAGACAGCTTGGGCTTGCAGACTATCCCTGCCATGGCTTCTAGGTATTTCCAGGATTGAGCAGGGTATCTTTGGAAATTGGTAAGAATGGGGAGAAAGGCAGGCATCTACTTCCCTACCCTCCTCCGCCCTATCTGAATGCAGAGAGGATGGAGACAGGACAGTTCGGCCCCAGTCACCACAGTCCACATTTCCAAAGTCATCAAAGATTAGTGAGGAAACCATGATTATTTTCTTTAAGATGCTGCAGTAGGAACGGATATCAAGGGAAAACGAAGAACCTTGCACAGTCAACTGATAAATATGAATCATGGGAAAGCTGAGAGGCTGTTCACAGTTATCCCAGGGAGAGGTCCTCCTGAGTACCTCCTGGCAGAAAGTGACAGCTCCTGGAAGGTGACAGACCCATGAGTTATTGCAGGCATCTGGAGGCACAGTGCTCAATGTCATCTGAAAACTGAAGAGAGAAGGGGGAAAATAACAAGCCCACAATTTGGTGTAGTGGGACTGCCCACAGCATGTGGACAGCTTCCTTTTTCTATTTGGAAAAGCCCCCAAGGGGTGGTGTTCATACCCAAGACTTTTGATTTAGGAATGATACTGAAGAATTAACTTTAATCTGGGCACCTTGCACTGGCCACAAGTTTCCTAGGACTTCCCTGTCTTAGGTACAGATATCTTGAGAAGGGAAAAATGCACAATGATACTTCCAGCTTGACAGGGATTACACATGAACGGGATAATGTGGAGTCAGGGAACAGAATTAGAGTTGGGGAGGGATAGAATGGCCTTTATTGGTCCTACCTTCAAAAGTAATGAACAACCCTTAAATATATTCAACTTTCCCTTTGGTTACTTCTTCATTTTAAATTTAATAGCTAACAAAAACATAGAATATAATTATCTCGGAAAGAAGCCATACACACACACACACACACACACACACACACACACACACAATCTCCCTTTTCTCTCTCACACTCACATTCACACACAAAACACTCACATATTCACACATATTCATTCATCTTCCATAAACTGTTTCTCTACTATGCACCTTTCCAATAAGCAAAACAGTATAACACAAAGCCCCTTTTTCCATGCTTTGAAATAAATTATCAGATAAAAGAAAATCTGTAGCTGAGATGTCGCTGCACAAGTATGTGAGTCGGGGCGTGGAGGTGAGCAGGGTGTGGGTAATTGCGGATTTTCTTTGGCTTTTGTTTCACATTTCATTTGCTCCACAGAAAGTCTGTATAAATACATGAAGAGGTTCTTTATTCATCACTTTCAGGGACTGGCAAAAAGGCTAACTGGTTGTCTATTTCTAAAACCTCAGTGCATGCCCGACAGAAGGACCGACGAGCCGTGATGAAAACACTCTATGCTGCCACATGAATCTATTTTCCACTCTCACCAATGGCCCTTGATTTTGTTAATCCTCCTCCTCCAGCCTCTCACTGTCTGCTCTCTGTGCCTGTTCCCACTCTCCCTGTGGCCCAGGACTAAGTGGCATGAGGACTTGGGTTCTCGGGTTCCTTAGAGGTGACAGAGTACTCAGAGGAGGTAACCCACAAATAGAAGGGTACTGAGGGCACAGTGGGCTCATGAATGGGAAACATGTTTAAAGAAGGAAACATTCAAAACATATGGAACTCTTGCTATGATACAGTTGCTGCCCCCCAAAAGTTCATTGCTACTGACTCAGACATGTATCCCCACAAAGGTATAGCACTGTGGAATGGTAAGGCAGGACCTGCCCTGGGGGTGGTAGAAAGTTTCCTATGGAAAGAGAGCATGGAATTAGTACAACAGCCATCACTTTTTGATTTGCCTTTCTTTGTATAAATGCTCTATCTACACTGATATCTATGGGAGAAGCCCAGGATCTCTGTGTATCTCATATATACATGTGCGTGTGTGTTGCATGTGGGGAAGGGGCAGTGACTCCCCTTGCAGAGACAGGCAGGATGATTTCCTATCTTCACTCCCGCCAAGCACATCCCCACAAAGCCCTTACCTGCACCCATTTATGGTTTGCCCGTGGCATCCTGGAAACAGCCCTCTCGCCAGGGATGACAGCGGCCAATCCCTTACCCACAATCGGCACAACAGAACCGTCTGCCTCTGTGGGGATCTGAGATTAACCTCACCACCACGACTGTGTGACTGCAAAGAGTTTGCACAGGAAGATCACAGGAATGGGAGTATCCTGTCCAAAAGGAGAGATAGGGGAGAACACCAATCCTGCTCAGGCTTAAGCTTAATAACCACCCCATATTCGAAGCCTCTTGATCTGTTTTTTATTTATTTATTTATTTATTTATTTTTCACTAGAAAATATTAAGAGAAAACAGAAAAGAAGTTGTGTTTTTCTGTGATCAGGTGAAAGAGGATCTGGAGGGAGAGAACAACTACCAGGTCATTCTAACCGTCAATGCTTGAAGTCAGAGAAGATAGAGATCCAAGTTCATTTGCTCACTCCTAAAGTTCAGAACAGTGGACACTCTTAAACATCGTAAACCCATCCAGGAAACTCACCTGTGGCTGAAATCCTTTGAGGTCGCTGGCTGCAAGGTCACTGGCTGTGAGGAGCTGGAAAAGAACAAAGGCATTTTCCTTAGTGATACTTCTCAAAGTTTGCACACAGCATCCCCAAGACAACCAACCCGCCATGGGATCCCCAGAGCCTTGATCAGAGCTCAAGAAGCACAGTCACCACAGGACAATGTGATATTTCTGGACCGGGAATCCAACCTTCCCACTGTGTGTGCAATGCCTCTGCTTTCCTCTCCGCCACCCCCGCCGTTGCTGCCCTCTCCTAGCTTCTGTGTGCCATCAGATCTCTGATGGGTTTTAAACTAGGGAGCATGGGTGAAGGCTGGACTTCCAGAGGTACACTCATTCCAAGAAATTACAATTATGTGTGAATTTATAGATATGCACATTTTCTTGGGGAGAAGGTTTCTGGCTTTCTTCCTAGTGGCAAAGCAGTCTGTAATACAAATTAAGAATTACTATTTCTGAGATAGTTAAAGATTCATCAAGGAGAGCTCTTTTCTTTCTTTTTTAATATCAGACTAGTAAAAGTGATCTTTTCCTCTTCCTGCCCATGTGACTCAGTTTCCCTTGCATGTTGCCTGTGATTTTATGTGCTGTTTAGGTTTTCATAGCTTATACTTAAAAACTCATATAGAAATCTTAGACTAGGATAAGAATATGATTTATATATTTTTGCACCTCTGTGTAATCAATGCTAAAGTGTAAAGTTCTGGTTTTTGAGCATCTTTGCATCCTCTTCAGGATTTGCCACTAGAAAACAATCCATAAAAGCAAATGGTTAATTAATGAAATTAATTAATAGTTACATTTTTTCATTGTCGCTTTCAAATGCTGAGAAAGTGGGTATGAGGAGAAAATGGGAAGATGATTATTTTGATTCAAGGAGTGTGACCGGCTAGCTTTGTTAGGCCTGGAGAGCATTTGTGAAAAATAGGAAAGATTTCATGTTTGCTGTAACAATATTTTGTTTGGTTCAAGAAAAAGAAGGAGTCATGCTGGGCTTTGGTGCCTCCGGCCTTGGGAAAAGCTCCACAAGACTTTTTAGCTTCCCTCAATGACTGCCAAAAATGCTGCCTAAGTGGTGTTAGAGCTGGGGTAGTGTTTTCTCCCCTCATGTAGCTCAGCCTGTGAGCTGGATTCCCCACTCTGGTAAAGAGCAATTTCAGCCCCTTTGGTTGTAATGAAATAGCCAAGCAATAGCTCACAAGGCTTCTTGCCTAGGCATCGAGGGCCAAACATAATCGTAAGACTCAGTCTCCTCCTTCAAGGTACTTACATTTTGGTCAAAGATCAGACATGTATCCATTAGATCAAGTGGTGTGTAACACAGTACGTGTGTGAAAGTTCAAAGATAAAGCCTGAGAGATCAGGGTGGGGTTGTTGAAATAACATCAAATTGGAACTAGTCTTAAAAATAAAAAGGTGGCTAATGAGGCACTTCATATGGTAGTAGCTGAAAGAACAAAGGCAGAGAGAGACTTTCTACCCCAACACTTCTCCCTCTGCGTCCCCATCCAGTGCCAGCCACAGTCTCCTTCCCCACAAGTGCAGGGGATAATGATAAACACAGGAGTGCCTGGGTCCCTGGTATACTGGTTGCTGGCTTTATACTGCACAGCTCCACCATGAGATAGACAGTATTTCCACTTTATAGATGAGAAAACTGAGACTTACAAAATGAAGAAACATATTCTAGGTCTCACTGGTGGGATTTATATCACAAACTGTGTTTGCTCAAAGCTGAGGCTTTTTCTTCCATGATAAGATGCCCCTGAATTAAGGCACACTGAACATCAGTTGTGGAGATGTGGCATAGGAACAAGGCCGAGTGCCAGAACAGTAGCCAAGTGAGCCATGGGCAGCAACATGATGCTTGTATCCTGATGGATGACCCTTAGCTAACCCTTCCTCTCAGATACTTTTATTTAATTGGCAATGACACTCAGCTCTTCTAAATTTATTGATACAACCTAAGCTGCTAATTTGAGGTAGGCACAGAGAGAGGAGAGACAGGAAGGTTAGATAGGGGAGGTATGGCATAGGCATGACTTTTGCGGGGATGCAGTCGCCAAGAAGAGTTCACATATACGAATCAGAGCCCAAAGTCTCCAATCTCTGTGAGGACAGCCAGCAGAGAGCATTCCCCCACTGTAATAGGGCTCTTGCCAAGGAAGCAGGAGCCATGTGACCAGAATGTCTATATCCTCCTTGTCCTGAGATCCTGCCACTGAAAATAAATCACAGATGTGTTCAACCATCTCAAAATATGCACTATGTCCTTATATCAGGGGGGATGCGATTGAGAAATGGACAGATCTTTTTTATTTAATTGGAAATAGACACACAGCATCTTTGGTTATGATTCCTTGTATTTCTAACTCAACAAAGTTAAGCTTATCCCTCTGTCCTTGGACACCCTCAGTTCTCCTTTCTATCTCCAGCAAGGAGTCAGATGTGTGTGATTCAGCCCTTCACTCTTTAAGCTTCTTTTTTGTGCTGTTGCATGCATTTTGTCTTCTCTTTTTCACCTAGCAAGTCTAACAACACCAAGAAGACCAAGTGTAATAAGACACGTCATCCTATCTAAATTCTTCATTTCTCCTTGTGTTGAGAAGAGTCTGGACATACAATTAGTCACTACATAACCTGCTGGTCAAAGGACACAAAAGGAAAGTGGAGAATAGTGTCAACCTGAGGTGAGGACAAGAATGACTAAATTGCTGAGTGTGGAGAACAGAAGTGTAAGAGGCGGTTTAAGATACCCTTCAAGCCGACAAAAGGAAATGGCACTCAGCACCTAGCACTTTTCCTGCGTGAAGAGGCACTCCAACGTTTAAATGAATTAATCAGTTCCCATGATGACAACAAGTTCTTCTCTATATGCTACTGACTTGTGGAGAGAATACTAGTTTATACTGCAGTATGGAGTCAGAGGTTAAATTTAAGGAACAACAGTAGAAAAGTGAAAGAGGCTGAAGAGAGAAAGAATACAGGCAGAGAAGTGGCTCTCTGTCTCCTGCAGGGTCTATTGGTTCATCTCCAGCTGAGATGTGTTAGCTCACCTGCTCCTGCATGAAAGAATTCAGGAGTTGGTGGTAACCAAGTAACTGCTAAAACTTCTGGGGGCAGGGAAAAAGTTCAGTGGCGTAAGAGCCTGCCTGGCAAGAACAAGCTCCTGAGTTGAATTCCCGGCACAAACAACAACAAAAAAATAAAATAAAACTTCTGAATTGTCTTACCTTGGAGATTCTGATTTTATTTAATCAATTTATTAATTAATTTTTTATACTGGGGAATCAAACCTAAGATCTTACTCAAGCAAGTGATCTACCAATGAGCTTATACCTGGAGATCTTGAATATTTCATTCAAAATTTAGTATACATTGAAGGTGTTATGTGACCTGGAAACAGCCAAAGGCAAAACTTACAACCTCTGAGTCCTGGAAGGACAGTTTAAAGAAGCCTATCTTTCCTCAGCAGCAAGCCATGGTTCCTTGGTTCTAACCACGTCCTAACCAAACACAGGAGCTCTTGGGCAAAGAGCAGCCCCTGACCATTAACAGTCCCCACAGTGGATGATCTAGAAATTTACACATCCTGCACCCAGGAAACAAGAAAGAGCTCCTACGCATGGTGCTCAGGTGTCTTTCTCCATTAGAAATACAGGACAAAGAAGTATTTCTATATTTAAAAATTATAGACCACTTAGAGAAGACCCCTCAAAAGAATTCTAGTCTTACAGTTTCAGTACCTGAAAAAGGCAGCTAAAGGTCCCTGGGAGAAATGGAGATATCGCTGTGTCCCCAGTGAGCTCAGAAGGGAGCGAATGTGTTATAAAACAAAGGTGTCCTGGGTCCCTGGCTGCCACCAGTTCTCGGTTCTCCTTCTTTCCTCCCTTGGACTGGTGTCTCTGTTTTTCCCTGTTTCTTGAATTTGAACACATGTGTTTTACTACTAAAACAAATTCTTAAAACTCTTACTCTGCAGAAAAAGAAGTTGTGAGGTTTTCAAGCTCACATTGTTGATTCACAGTGGGACTCTGGATTTCAGAAAACCCAGCCTCTCTGCAGAAGCCTCCATTGGTAACCACCTCTGCCCAGTCCAACTCTACGTGGGAGAGAGATGCTAGGAATTCAGTGGCATTCAAGGCAGGTAAGAAAGGACACACCTGTTCCTCCTCAAAGCCATCGACTTAAGAAACATAGCTCCAGATCCTTCCCTCCTGTCCCCTTCCACTGGCCCCTATCCCCATTCTGTACCATGGGAAACAGCTCACTGCCCACGGCAGCCTGGCTGTGTGGGGAGGGATCCAAGTCAGGCAGACAGAGTGAGGGAGGGAAATGAAATCCTCCATGACTCCAGGGACTTCAATCAAGCTGAAGTTAATGAAAAGGATCCTGCCTTTTCCTAGGATGGCTAACTGTCTGCACCACTCCCAGATACAGGCCTGAGAGGGTGTGGGGGAGAAGGAAAAACAGAATTAGATTTAAAAGGCAAAGGAAGGAAAAAAAAATTCTTTCATCTCCCTTGTGGAGCAGTGCAGTGTTCCTGGAGCCCCCTGCTTTGATAAATCTCATTCCTGACACGTCTTGCTGCTCTCTGGAACAGTCCATGTTCAAATATTAGGAGGATGACCCTGCCTTCCATTTGTGAAGAGCGGCAGTTTCTCTCTTGGCATAAATTCAAGGTTTTTTGGTCTCTCCGAGCTCAAAGGGAGGGCTGGAGGAAGGTGAAGGGTGCCGTGGAGGCACATGAGGAGACACCCCTTTAGCTTCCTCAAGCAAGACATTCTGCTCTCTTCTCTCACTCTGCTTCTGAATGGAAGCCTCCTTGGCTTCCTGTAGTGAAAAGCACCCAGAATACAGTGCAGCCAGCCACCCCGGTGACCGTCTTGGGCCCAGGACTGGCTGTCCTGCAGCAAACTCCATAGCTTCTAAACTTTCCCCACAGGAGGAAAGAGAATGATGCCATTTTGCTGCCTCTTTCTTCCTGCTCTCGGAAAATGATCTCCTCTACTAGCCCATAATCAAAAGTGCCCACTACACTGGGGTAGAGCAGGACCCAGCACATCCCCAAGCATCAGGCTGACCCTGCGCACTTGTGACCAGGAAGGGGCCACTGACATGAAAGGGGGAAAGGACATGTGTCATGCTGGACAGCTCTCCAGAAGGGCTCACACATGTGCATCTGGATAAACTGAGGCCTGAGGTCCTTGGGACTGTCCAGATCATTTACTCTTTCCAGGTATTTCCTTCTTTCAAGGCCAGACAAAGAGATGCTGCAGGGGAAATGGATGGACAGGTAGGGAGGTAGGTGAAGAATGGGGCAAAGAAGGAGAACAAGTGCTCCACATTCACATTTGCCCCCAAACACACCGTCCTTTCATTGTAAGCCTTCCATGCCATCTCCCAACTTTTGAATCTGCTTCCTTTCCCTATTGTAGGTAAAATAGACCTTCCACTCTCTTTTATTCTGTGAAGTGCCACTTGCTGCTTACTTTGGCTATAAGACAAAGGCTGAACCTCAGCCTACTCCAACTTCTCCACCTACACAGACATTTAGAGCAGCCTATGTGTAAGGCAATGCTCCCACAAGCTGAGATAAACATCCAATAACAGGTGTGTTGGGGGCTGCTAGAGATTAACTAGACTCACTATCTCCCTTGAGAAAGAAAACTGAGGCCCAGAAACATTAAGTGAGTCACCCAAAGGAAAAGTGGGGCTACAAATCCAACCACATATGTATAACTACAAGAAGTTTTAGATGTCCAGACAACTGGAGAATGTGAGAGGGACCATGAAAAGAGCAGGAGGAACAGCAAGTATGGCAGGGCTCAACACAGAGAGGGAAAGAAGTCCAAGCCACAGGCTCTGCAACCACCACCTAGAAGGAGTCTGCAGCTCACCGTCACCACAGAAGGAAACATAGACACCAGAATAAGGGAGACGAGATGGAATCAGCACAAACTTGTGTCCCAGCCCTGGTTCTCCTATAACTCACTGTGGAAAAAATTTAATCCTTGCAGGCCTCATTTAACCATCTATTGAGTGAATTCTGTGTTCCCTCTGGCTCCACCCTGACAGCACCCCAAACTGTCCCCCTCACTTACAGATAAAAAAGACATATATGGGACACTATTTGCCCCAAACACACACTTCTCAGAATTTCGCTACACATTCTACACATTTTGGAAGTATTTTTAATCAGAAAGTCAGCCTTAAGGACAAGGAGAGAGTATTATACTGTGGCTGCATTATTGGTTTACAAATAGGAACTTGACAGATGGCTACTCAAAGCGCTGTGACATGAATTCACCAGCCAGCAAGGCAGAAGTCAAATCCACATCTGAACTAAAGGTAAACAACCTTCCAATTCAAAAGGCATTAGTTCTAACTGCTGAGGTATTTGCGGTGTGTAGTATAGAAGCCAAGGGGCTGACTTTGTTCTGACCTAAGAAACAAGTTACACACTTGAAGCTACCTTCCTAGCTGGGCTGTGTCCTTTTGCTAAATCCCCTTAGCCTCCTGGAATTTTAAAGGTTAAAACTAAAAGCTCTGACATCTCTAGTCTTCATTTCAGGCTCTCTGCCCAAACAGCAACAAGGATGACTAATAATAACTTTGTATATAGCTCCAAGCAAGCCTGGTCTTGATTGCTTATATTTGTCTTTTATTATTTTTTAAATGATGGGGTTCTAATATTTACAGGTAAGATCTGTAACAAATTCCCCTACAGATGCAGCCAAAAGAGCGTTTACATTTTTTTTCTTTTTAAGATTCCACGGGTAGCTTTGCATATATAACCCACACTCTTACAGTGGTGTTCATATTTGGTTGCTATCCAAGTCACAGTTATTTCATCTTCTGGGTGGGAATGTCTTTAATCCACCACTTTGCATATTAGAGCTGTAACTACCAAGACATAATGAAAGAAGAGTCTCTGAATGCCCTAATATAGAACTCACTGAAATGATGAGTCTTGTTTCATGTTATTTGAACTTGATGAACCTACAGAAACTCATCTTGGCCTTTTTTTAACTTCCCAGTAGGATTCTTTTTCAAATGCCCTGTCCCTCAGACCAAGAAAACTAAAATTCATGAAGGGAATATTGTACGGTGATGGGTGGGAAGTTCACACAGGTAGACCTGGTATAAACTGATGATATGAATGTGAATATCATACTTTTAAACATTTCAGTAAAAACTGGCTAGCAAGTGTTAAGTAGATTCTGAGATTCATCACTTGTAGAATGGCATGCCACTCTAGTTTGACTAACTCATGGTTTTTTTTTTTTTCACTATGTCTTAATATTCTCCAAGACCATAGGTGTTTTTGGACTACGTACTGTTTGTCAGTTTATCAGATTCCCCAAGATGCTTCCAACGTTTTGAAATGAATTATCCAAAGGAAACCAATGAAACAATGACTTTTAGACTGTCTTTCATGGAGCCCTGGATTCCATGAAAGGGACTTGGAGACTGTAAAGTGGGTGAAAGGAGATGAGGAATGAAGTTGCAGACCCCAACCCCACTTCATCCAGAGCAACACAACTTTTATTGGTACTTTTATTCTGGACTTCCATATTAAAATCCACTTAACAAAAGTTTTATGAAAATGAAAGTTTGAAAACTTGTATCTTGAGAAAAGGCCTTTCCTTATGTAAGCAAGCTACTCCCAGGGCTAACAGTCTTCTACTGGGCAAGATAGCTCACTAGCACACTACTTAGAGATGCTAACGTAATCATCCGAGAGGAGGGAACCGGGAGTGTGTCAAGACCACATTTCAAGAACACAGCCTTTAATACTTGGCATGAGTCATTGATGGGGAAAATGCTTTTTTCTTCTTTTATTCTTTTTGCAGACAATAATGTCTGCTCTCTGCATATGAAGTTCAGGAAGCACAACTAATGCACCAAGAAAGAAAAGGGCTAGAGACATGTCACATCTCAGGAGCACAATCTGAGTTGTAGGTCTTTCCTTGCAAATGAAATTGGTATATCAACTTTGCAAGAATCCACAGGCTGTTTCCAAAGTCCATAAAAATCCAATAAAGGAAGTTCCCCTCCTTAAACATATGCTACACAAAACTGGATGCTGGGGAAATATTCACACTCATCTTCCTCTTCTTATCTGCTGAAGTTCTGCTTAGAACTGACCAGATGATCTGTTCACTTGGCTCCCAGACGAGTATCAAAGCTTTCTAATCATCCCCTTGGTGAATCCCAGGAAACTGATTTATACCCCAAGGCTCACTTAGTTTCAGAGAATAGAAAAGTCAAAAGGTACTTGCTTCAGAGAGTATCTGAGTACTGGAGTCAAAAGCTCTGCTAAGTATAGCCAATTTGGCAGAGAATCTGGGTCCCTCGAGCCAAATCTGGAGCAATTAATCACAACTACAGGTGGATATTGAAAAAGGATAAAGCCAAGTTGGACCCAGTGATAGCTGAACCTTGTAGCTGTAGGTAGTCACACTGTTATAAGCCTTAGTAAGTGGCAAGGTATCCTCCACTTAATTATAAAGTGAAAAAGATGATTTTTCAGGACATCCTGTTGCCTGTTCTTGTCTCAGGTACACGCTTTGTTCTATCAGCCTTCTTTACCATCACAGGGACAGTGCGGGATAGTATTATTTTCTCCAGTCTATCATTAAACAAACTGAGCTTCAAACTCATTAAATTATGCACCCAAGTTTGAGAAGGCAAAAATCAGGAGAAATGGTAGTAGAACACAGGCTGGAATTACAGTTAATCTAGCCTTCAGTCTAAGCCATCCATGACCTGTCTGGGAACCCCTTCACAGGCTGTTGTTTCTCCTGCCCTCCTCTGTCAGGGAGGCATCCCTGGCCCCCATGGATATTGGAACTACAGCCAGCCATCTTGAAGACAGGAGTCATTGTTCCTGTAAGCCTTAGGCAACCTCACTGGGATCTAAGACGATGCTTCCTTCAAATTTTTTGAAGTCAAACTGACTTTGGTCAAACGCAGCTTCTTTGTTCCTGAATCCAACTGACCACAGAATCCCCAGAGTACCTACTGTACCCTGTTGTAAATATTGGGACTATTGGGTTTTTCCTCTTCCTTTTTCCCCAGCCCTGCCTACCTGCCTGCTTTTCATTCCTCCCTTCTTTCCTTCCTTCCTCCTTGACAGCAAATGAGTCCATACCAAGTCCCAGGCACCATCCCAGAGGTGGGAAATCCCCATGCACTACCAAATCAGCACATGGCATTAAATTCTCTCAAGAATCTCATAAGACAGTACTATAATTATGCCATTTAGCAAATGAGGAAACAGAAACTCGGCAACATTAAATAATTTATTCAAAGTTACTTGGCTGTAATTGACAGATTCTCAGTTCCATTTGAAAGCAAAGTCTACGTTCATTCTCGCTCCTCAGCCAGTAACCTGAGTGCTGTCATGGGCCATAACATCCTACGTAAAAAAATGTCTTCAGCTTTTAGAGACACAAGCTAAGACAAACAGGTAAATGTTGGTAAAAAAGAATAATCAATGATGGGAAGGAGATAATTGCATCCTGTGGAAGAGTAACACTATTATAATCATAAAAGCAAGCACTTTTAACAACATAGAAAAACAAGAAATCTTAAATAAACTATCTCTGTTACTATAGGCATAGAAAATGCTACTGTTACCTGGAAATCTTACATAGCATGAGAATTACAAGGAGAACAAGAATCAAGGACAGGGTTGCCCCTGACAGAATGAAGGAGCTGGACAGCAGGAGGCAGGACCTCTGGGAACAACAGACAACTATCCTCAAAGGGAGTCAAAAGTGAGAACTTTATCTACTTGGCAAGAAACAGCCTTCATCATACAAAAATGTTAAAAGTCAGTCTTTGTCTACCGAATACCTCTGCTTAAGTTTTTCATCAACTTAGGTATTTTTTAAGACATCAGAACAGGTTAGCTGCTAACTTATTTTAATGGACCAAGTAGATTGTACTTGTTTATGTGTTTTTTCTACTGCTTGAAATGAATAATCTCTCTAAATTGTTATTTGAAAACTATCTGCAGAAGCCTGCTCTTGAATTATTGTCCTAGGCACTGCAAGTTCTAAGGACTGGGTCCTGGTCTTCTCTGTGGCTTAGGATTTCTTGAGGACTTAGATACCTTGCAGGTTTTTAGTCACTGAAGATATTCTACAGGGTCTGCCAGAGCTTCTACAGAAGCTCTTAGTAGATAAACAAACAAATATCCTAAGAAAACAAGACATGATTCCCAGAACAACAACTCTGAAGTAGTCCTGTTTTCTTGGCATATGCACTTACCCTGCTACTTTGTTAAAAATTTGTCCCTCTTATATTTCATGGGGTCTTTGGAAAACAGCTGGTTCACCAATAATATGTCTTGGCTGGGGTGCATATGTGTGTGTTTGCATCTCACACAATCCTAACTCAAGCAACCACAGTTTGCTAAAAATGCAATGCTATTTGTGATTTCACTCACAAAGACTCTGTAACATATACGGAGGTCTCTGGAAATAGAGGTTCTCTTTTCACCATACCAACTCAGTAGATTCTATCTCCACAGACCTCTTTCACAAATAAGACAATACTTTAATTGTTCTCCTGAAATCACATGTGTCTGTCTCATAGCCCACCCACATTTGTATAAACCTGCCCAGAATCTCTGGCTGACTCAGATGGGGAATGTCTGTCTACTTTACCCACTGAGATGGAGCACAGTGAATGTAACACACAGATGCTACATCAGCAGGACTGGAAGTAGTTGCTAACTCAGTCTGAGACCCCTTTAGTAATCATATGCCTAGTCCTTTATTTATAGACCGGGTGAAGAGCTCACCACAGGGGTTGTCAATGTGCTCTTCTGCAGCAATTCAGCAGTAGTGTGACCTTGGGAAAGTCGTATCCTTTACTGACCCTGAGTACTCCCCATCTCTACCATGGGGAAATCTGCAAGATCCCCTCAGTACCCAACAGCCTCTGAATCTGGAAAAGCTGATAAATGGTCTTCCACTCATCCAGTGCATCGTAAGGCTTCACACAAATTGTCTATTCTAAAAGGTGGGGATCACCTACAGCCCAACTGGTGCTGGAGGGTATAGCAAAAACGGCGGCACGGTAGTGCTCTTGGCACAACTGAGTTGCCAAAGCCTAAGTGTGTATTTACAAGAAGCCACGCCCTCATCTCTCACTGGTTTTTGGAGACTAAGAGCTCTACTTTTTCTTTCCATATCCCTCCCTACTTAAGACTGCCTTTACAAAAGTATCCACTATTGATCACTTATACCATAATCACTTCAGAAGAATTCCCAGGAGAACTGTTTTCTGTGCTTTACTTCTAAGTAGATGAGGACAATTGAAGTTGCTTTGCTCTTCAATAAAAAGAAATTCCAGATCTTCGAAAAGAACAGAGGTGAGAGAGGCAGAGGATCACTCACATGGGGAGCTATATTAAGCAAGGCTGGCTCTGGGGTAGAAGAGGGACAGCAGAATTGGAAAGCCATGTTTAGCTGTGTCTGTGCATTCACCTTGCCATATCTCAATGGAAGGTTTGTGAGTATCGAGAGCAACGGCCCTGCTCCCCACTTGCCCTGAGTTTACCCTCGGTCCCACAGAATAGTAAGCATTCTAATTCTAAATCACGCAAACTTATTTCCGCATTAAGTTGCAAAGACACTGGTGGTGTCTCACGTTAACTCTCCTAACAGCAGTGAAAAACAAGAAGGGTAGAAACTATGCTGAGTGTTTGACAGATGGAGGAAATGAGGCAAAAAATCGGTCAGTGACTTGCCCAGGGACATTCTCTTGGCTTCAGAAGCTTTCACATGGAAGGGATTAGCCAGTCCAGCCTCCCCCGGTGCAGGAATCCCCTTCTCCAACTTCTCTGACAGATGGGACCCAGCTTGAGCATTTTGGGGAAGTGGCACTCACTAGTTTAGAGGCACATTAGTTTTCAGCAAGTTCCACCTTGATTCAGTGGAATATACCTCACTGAAACTTGTCCCCTCTTTCTGAGTAACTGCTTTCTTTTCTTTCTTTTTCTTTCCTACTCTAAGATCTTCCTGTGAAATAAATAATGTGAAGTCCCATTTTACAGATGAGGGGAAACAGACAGAGCAACTCACTTTAAGCCTCAGATCCAAAGTCTGATTCGAACACCGAGACCAGGGGATTTCTGATTCAGCTTCTCCCCACCGCCCTATCTCCAGTCCTCCCATGGGCACACAGGACAGGCTGCTTAGTCCCCCTGCCAGTGGGAGGCCTCTGATTTAACTGAGACTACGCACTGTCTCCATGCCTCCCCAGGCAGAATTTCCCATGTGCCTTCAACTCTTCCTCCCCAGACCTGGTTCTCACTGTTATCACCACCTAGCTTAGAAAAGCCCCCTTCAAAGTGTGGCTCACAGATCTGAGTCCACAGTGACAGTGGGAGGAAAAACTGTTACCAACAGGTCATGTTGTGGAGAATCTTTAATAACTGGCTCTCTATGGAGAAAAAACAAGGCCCTGATGTGAAGCATTGGCCGATTTTCATAGTGGAATCACTCATGGTTTCAAGTTACCAAGCTGAAGTCACTGACTGTAGAGTTGGAAAAGAGGGGCTCTGTGGGTCCAACCAGTATGAGCTGGTTATAGCATGGTGCTAGTGTATCAATGAGCTTATCTGCCTAAAATCATCCACTCAACCTAGACCACTCAAATTGAATGATAGGCAGAGCATCCTATATCACACTAACAAGTGAGATGATTGGTATTAAACTTTTTACTTCTTCATCTCCCTTACCTGCCCTCAATGCTCAGGACCATTTGAAGTCTTCTGACGTGAGATTATAGGCATTGTGGAAGGCCTTTGGCCAGGGCTCTAGTATGGTCAGTTTTTAAGTGGTAGCTTCAGCATAAGGTTGACACAGCTTGCCTTCCTGGACTTAGGGAAAGGTGGGCAGGAGGTAGCTGGAAATATTGGCTCTTTTGTGGAGGTTTTTATTACAACAGGGAATTCCCCATTGCTCTTTCAAATTCTTTTAGCCAAACATTAAATACCCCAAGGTCAAATTTATTAGTGGATCTAGCAGCCCAGAGAACTCTTGGCTTTGGTACTAAATCCTTCTTATCTCCCTACTCTCCCTTAAATCTTGCAACTTGGCCAACACAGCTGCTCATATCCCACCGAGCCATAAGTAGTTCAGTGTGTATACAAAAATGGACACACACAGCAGTGATCGGCTTCGTAGGTCCATAGTCAGAAACTAGAGACTCAGGACATTCTCTAA